GGCCTGTAATCTGCCATGGGCCCCCGTACCGACTCCTCATGCTGCTGCCAGGCCCGTAATCTGTCATGGGCCCCTGTGTACCGCCTCCTCATGCTGCTGCCAGGTCCAGAGTGTGTCATGGGTCCCTGTACGGCCTCCCATTGCTGCTGTCTCCATCGCCACACTCTGCCATGTGCCACTTTCAGGTCTCCTCACACTGCTGGTGGGTTCCATTTTGTCATAGGGTGCTGTATGGCCTCCCATTGCTGCTGCCAGGCCCGTAATCTGCCATGGCCCCGTACCGACTCCTCATGCTGCTGCCAGGCCCGTAATCTGTCATGGGCCCCTGTACCGCCTCCTCATGCTTCTGCCAGGTCCAGAGTGTGTCATGGGTCCCTGTACGGCCTCCCATTGCTGCTGTCTCCATCGCCACACTCTGCCATGTGCCACTTTCAGGTCTCCTCACACTGCTGGTGGGTTCCATTTTTTCATAGGGTGCTGTATGGCCTCCCATTGCTGCTGCCTCCACCGCCACACTGTGCTCCACACTCTGGTTTTGGCCCCGTGACTGCCCAAATGAGTGAAGTGTGCGGTGATTTTAAGATCGACGGCACTCATCTGCATGTCATACTGACTGACAGTATTATTTCTCTTCCCCAGCAGACTCCAAGGGCATTTAAATTAAAGGTACAGTGTTCTGCACTAATATAAAGGCTCTCTGAAGCCTAGAAACACCCTTTTTATAAGTTAAATTCGCAGCGAATATATTCGACTCGAATCGAATTTATTCCGCGAATTCGCCGAATCAGCCGAATCGAATTTTTGAATAATTCGCTCATCTCTACCTGTGAGTATAAAAATGAACATGGTCTAGAACCCTAGGTCTTGAGTCTCATAGACTGGGTCTGGGCCTTATTCCTTCAGCTCGTCCGTTAGCGACTGACCACCAGAGAATGAGAATCTGGGAGATGTGAGAGCCATGACACTTGGGAGATTCCAACCACTGGAGCCTTCCACTTATTGGCCTCTTTTTATATGGATTTCACCTCTGCAGGTGTGTCGGGACAGCATATAGCCTGGTTAGAATTAGAGACTTAGGGACAATGACTGATGGTTATCTGGAATCATTTGAACTGTGATGTCTGTTGTGTCGGACTTTGTATCATTTATTTTTTTCAGTAACTTTGCCACCTGCCTGGTCTGATGTTACTCAAAGGAATGTAATGCAAGTAACTGGCACAACTTCACATTTAGACTACAGCTTGGGTTATTAGCACATGGGGTAAGAAGAGTTAACATGTTAAAGAGTCACCTTCATGCAAGTTATACATGCAGTTGCCATGAGCAATGAAGGTACAGTAAGTGAGAAGCCTGTCCGAAGAGTGTATCTGTTATAGGTGGAATTGCCTCTAGGTACGAGAGAGATGTTGTTGGCACTCCCTACACCGCATTCCATCTCCCACAGCAACCAAAACTGCCCTGCAGAGGTCCCCATCTTGTACAAAGGTACAGAAGTTAAAGAGTTAAAGTCAAGTGTACGTTTGAGCTTGCGCTATCTGCATGGCATGTTTCCATGCTGCTAATGGGACTGGTAGTGGGAAACGTTAAACAGGTGGCTGTGGCCAGTGTTCAGCACAGCATACCTAATTGCAAGTCTACAGTGGGAAGATGTACATTTACACGGGGACTCGAGAGTTAACTGGAAAACAATTGTGCAAGAGTACGTGTACGTTCATCTCTAAGTGTAGAGACCCGCCTTAAGGGCAAGTATTCCCTGATGGCAACCTCAGCCTTGTTTCAGGGCATTGGTGAAAATGGCACTAGAACAAAGGTACCCCATGTTTTTGTAGCACCCTCCTGGTAAGCTAGAGGGAGCTAGACTCCAGTTGTTTGCTGGAGCTAAGTAGCACCCTGGAAGTAATAATTAGCAGGGGTCAATTTGTGGTCAGAGCTGAAAGGCTCTGCAGACCAGCCCTCTGGACTTTCCCCTTGCTCTAGAACTTCTAGATTCTAAAAGCAGTGGGTGGATCTGAGGAGTGGCTGATCTGCACTTTTGATGGAACCTGGCCAATCCCCAACAGTAGGACCAGGACATCCCTTAAAAGTGATTGAGCCTGCTCAACAGCAGGAGAGTATGGGTGGAAGACAGAGAGAATGTGAAGCTGGAGGCAGGAGCCTGTGAGGGGGGCCCGGATGGAGAGGGGCTCACCTGCAGGCAAAGGACCTTAGAAGGAGAAAAACTTGGGACTTCACCAGCCTCCTTAGAGAGAACCACCTGTGAGGCGGGGAAGGAGCGGCCAAGCTTAAAGGCCTGGTAGCAGCCACCAATCCACCAGCAGCACAGGAGAAGGACTGAGTGAGTAGGCCTGCACCCCCTGAGCCAGATAGGGGAATGAGCACTCTGGTGGGAAACCAGTTTAGCTGCTGCCCAGGACTGTCCTATTGTAAGTGACAGACACTGGATCCCTTGCTCAGGGATTCCTCCAGGCAGTCAGATAGAGGAGTATAATGAACCAGCAAACACAAATGCTCCTGCGCTTGGGGATGGACTCGATGCAGGCTACAACCACATTAAGAATGTCCTGGAACATGCACACCTTTCTGCCCTCAAATGGGCCTGAGGAAGAGGCAAGTCCTCGAAACACGTCAGCCTATTGGATGTCTACATTCCCCATTGTGGACTGTTACTTAGTGCGGTGTTGACCCAGCTGGTCTTTTATGATGTGCCTTGACTTTATTCTTGTTTGTGAGTACAACACCTATTTTATTTCTTATTAAACATTTTTTGTGGTAATGCACTAGGCCTGTGCGTCCTCTCTTTGTTCTTTCCTCAGTCAGATAGAGGAGTGTCTGGGGTCTGGGGTGGTACACTGGGAGACGCTGGCTAGCCCTCCAAAAGAGGATCTTATGCTGTACAAACTTGTAAATAGTTTCAGGAGGTTTGTCTTTAGTTCCAGTTCCATTGGGCATCCTTGGGACACCCCTTAGCCCATTCAAGTTTTATTATCCCTTAACAAAACATCAAAACAAGCTCAAGAACTGGTCACTGTCTCCTGGATGCAAGTAATTTGGGGGACCCAAATCTCTTGTAACTCCTAAGGGGTAGTGCTACATGTGTGAAATAAAGAGAGAGAGAGAGACCCAGTACAAGGTACCTAGAGTAGCTCAGAACAACCCATCCCTGGGGTGGGCTTCTCATGCGACCCTTGCTTGGGGCCAGGGAGGAGGGAAACATGGAGGACATGACAAACAACCCCCACCACACTATTCCCCCCCCCCCTTTACACAGTTAGGGATGGATGGAGATTTTTCTCTCTCTGTCATATTCTTTTTCCATACCCAGTGCACAGACACGTGTATGTTGACAGACAAGCATAAGGGGGCTCACCCCCGTGGTATGGAGGAGGGAATTTTAATCAGAAATCAGTGCAGAAGAAAGGGTGATCAAGACAGCTAGACCATCCAGACTATCAAGATATAAAGGGTTCAAAGTCTGATGAATAACGGAAGAGACCACACTGTCCAAATGAGTCTATATGACTCCTTCTTGCCCTCATCCCCAGCAACCAGACACTTGATATGGTTAATGTTCTCTATCTCGCACACCCATTCGGTCAGCGAGGGAGGGTTGGGTTTGTGCCAGTGATCACTGAGCAGGCAGCTACTAGAAAATGTCTAATAGGAGTCTTTTTTATTTGTTCATGAGAGCTCAAGATCATCAATAAAACTATATTTTAAATCGAATTTGGGTAGGAATCCCCATCTGCTTTTCACAGAGCTTCAGAATTTAATTCCAAAAGGGAACAAGCTTGAGGCACTTGCCCCAAATCTGGGTCATATTGCCAGCAGCCTGTATACTTCTCCAACATATGTCAGAGTTAGTTGGGTCCATCTGATGCAGACACAAAGGGCACTGGTACCATCTCAACAAGGTCTTTTAGGTAAGACAAATAACTCCTGTTCCTATTTAGCTATAAAAGGTGGAGGCTGATGAAAGGATTTTCTTAGTAAGATTCAATATATCAGGGAAAGCAGTTGTTCTTGGGTGAACTGAAAAAGTAACAACTCAAATTATGTGTGTTGCCTAGTCAGAGGGCAGAGGGTGGTTAGTGTGCCATGGTAATGTTTAAATTGTATTCTAGCCAACTTCTCAAGGGTTTGTAATTTTGGTATTATCTGATACTATTTGCTCCTATGGAAAGTATGTCCCAACAAGGGAAGGGCACTTATTTTCCAGGAGAGAAAGTGCGACCAGTGTAACGTCGGTGGGAAAGCCAAGCTCCCAAAAAGTGGGGTCAACAAACTTGGGTGGGAAGAAAGACCTTTGGAACGGTATTCATCTCACACTTGTAGAGTGAGGATAGGTAAGCAGTCTGGGGGCAGCCTAGCTTTGGGGGCCATCCAGGTTAGAGAGGTAAGATCAAGGCTTTGCAAATCATTTTCCAAAGAGGCCCATAGTTTTGTATGTTTCTCATGGTACCAATTGAGAATTTGGAGCAGAGAGGCAGCATGATAGTACAAGGAGAACTAAGGGAGTGCCAATCCAACTCTATCCCTAGGTAAGGACAGAACCGTAAACCTTATCCTAGGTCTTTTATTGAGCCATATATAAGAGCGTATAGCTTTGGCCAGGAAGAAACCTGCCTGGAGAAGTATGGGTATTGCTTGAAACATTCACAATAATTTGTAGATATCCATTTTAACAGCATTTACTTGGCCAAACCAGGAAAGGGATAGTTTATCACAAGTTTTAAGGCAGGAAAGGATTCTATGGAGCAAAGGCTGATAATTGACATCCACCAAGGAGGACAATGAGGTGGAAATATAGACCCCTAGGTATTTGAAAGCTGCTAGTAGTCCAAATTCCTCAAACTCTCTGATGATAGAATGGAGTGAAGTGTGGGGGTTTGTCACGTACAGCAATAGATCATCGGCATATTATGATAATTTGTAGTGGTGTTCACACACCATAATCCCTTGAAAATTTGGATTTTGACAGAAGGCTATTGCCAGGTGTTCCATGGTAAGGATATACAATAAAGGAGAAAAGGGACACCTCTGCTGGGTACCATTATGGATTTGAATAGGATCTGAGAGGATACTAGTTGAATAAACCCAGTATTTGATGTAAAAGACTGGGCCCAAGGCCCTCTTTCTGGAGGGTAAACCTCATAAAATCCCAATTAACCCGGTCAAACACTGAGATTCAGCAGGCCGGGATATGTTGTTTCTGAGAGTCCATTAAGAGGATGGTTTTGTCTTGAGCCTCCCTACCCATTGTAAAGCCAACTTGGGCGATAGGACCTTTGAGGTTTATATTGCCATCTATGTACTATCTGGAGATTTTCCCTCACTTCCTGTTCCTGTAAGATTTTCAGGTTTAGCATGGAAAATATGTGTTTCTATTTTGGTGCTTCCTTGTCACAACCATTGTATTATTCAATGAAATCTCTTTGTAGTAAACCTCAGCAAGGGTTTTGTAATAGTTTTA